GGCAATATTTTTGATCCCTGTCAAGTCACATGTCTGGTGATTTAAAGGTTTCCTCAACACCTGCTGTTAGATTCCTAAGTTGGAATGTTAAAGGTCTGAACAATCCAGTGAAACGGTCTAAAATATTTTCTCATATGAAACGCCTGAACCCAGACATAATATTCCTACAGGAAACACATTTGCAAAATTCAAATCAAGTCAGGCTCAAATATCCATGGATTGGGGAGATTTATCATTCGAGCTTCAACTCAAAAGCTAGAGGAGTTGCCATAATATTTAATAAGAATATTCATTTTACAGCATCAAGAATAATGAAGGATATAAATGGCAGATTTCTTATAATTGCAGGCTCCTTGTTCCACACTCCTGTTTTATTAGTAAACATTTATGCACCAAACTTTGATAAACCAGATTTTATAAACAATCTAGTTAGCACACTTCCATCTTGATACTCATTTGTTAATTCTAGCTGGAGACCTGAATTGTGTAATGAATCCATCATTAGATCGCTCCTCATCTCGGTCCTATACACAGTCTAATATGTCTAAATCTATTTTGGATTTTGTGTCCCAAAATGGATATGTAGATCCATGGAGGACACGGAATCCACTAACAAGGACCTATTCTTTTTACTCTCAAATACACCAATCCTATTCCCGTATAGATTATTTTTTTGTTGATAGCTCTTTAATGCAGAGAGTCACGTCTTCTGAATACTATCCGATTGTTATTTCAGACCATTCTCCTCTAAGCATTGATATAAATTTTATAAACAAACCCAATTCTAGTCCTCGTTGGAGATTTAATACTCTCCTGTTATCAGATGAGCCATTTAATAAATTCATCTTATCATCAATTGATGATTTTCTAAGGTTCAATAAGAGCGATACAATTTCTCCCTCACTACTGTGGGAAACATTAAAAGCTTATCTTTGGGGTCAGATTATCTCTTTTTCAGCTAATATTAATAAAAATCTACGCACTAAGATATCAGAAATATCAACAAAAATTCAGAATATTGATAGGCAAAATGCCGTTAATCCGTCACATGATTTGCTGAAACAGCGACAGGATCTTCAGATGGAACTTGATCTTTTAACTACATCTGATGCGGAGCGACTCTTGATACGATCTCGAGCCACTTATTATGAACATGGGGAAAAACCAAGTAGACTTCTGGCACATCAATTGAAACGAAAAGCCGGCTCTCACATAATATCACAAATCAACGATCGGTCGGGCAATCTTGTTTCAGATCCTGTCTCTATTAATGATACTTTTAAAAAATTCTACTGCAATTTGTATAAGTCTGAACTACAAGCAGACTCAAATGAGCTATGTGCCTTTCTTCAGGATATTGACATACCTAGGATAGACAAATTGCTTTCTGACCAACTTGAAGCTCCCATTAAATTAGAAGAAATATTTGCGTCAATTAAGGATATGCAAAGTGGTAAAACACCTGGCTCAGATGGTTTCTCTGCCGAATTTTTCAAAAAATTTAAAGATAAAATAGCCCCTCTTCTTCTTGAGGTTTATAATGAGTCATTTGGGCAGGGCTTGTTGCCTCCCACCTTGACTCAGGCCTCAATTTCTCTCCTGTTAAAGAAGGATAAGGATCCTACTGCCTGCGAGTCCTATAGACCTCTTTCACTTTTGAATGTGGATTTTAAGATTTTGTCTAAAGTACTCGCGACTCGGCTTGAGACAGTTCTCCCTCGGATTATTTCACAAGAACAGAATGGATTCATTAAAGGTCGCCAGTTGTTTTTTAATACTCGTACACTGTTGAATACAATTTTTTCAACTCATTCCTCTAAATCTCCTGAAGTGATAATTTCTCTTGATGCCGAGAAAGCTTTTGATCGAGTGGAATGGGAATATCTCTTTGCTGTTCTTAATGGGTTTGGTTTTGGAGAGAGGTTTGTGTCTTGGATCAAGCTACTTTATACATCCCCTCAAGCATGTATTCTCAGTAATTCCGTCCAATCTGATTATTTTACGGTGGGACGTGGTACTAGACAGGGTTGCCCTCTTTCTCCCCTCTTGTTTGCGTTAGCCATTGAACCCCTATCCGTTGCTCTAAGATCCCTTTCTTCTTTTCATGGAATCGTCCGCTCTGGTGTCGAGCTTAAATTGTCCTTATATGCAGATGACCTTCTCCTGTATGTCTCTGACCCTTTACGGAGTCTTCCCCCAATTTTAAATATTCTAGAAAAATTTGGATCATATTCTGGCTATAAAATTAACTCACTTAAAAGTGAATGCTATCCAGTGAATTCATTAGCTTTAAAGCTTAAGCCTTCTGATATCCCTTTTAGGCTCAGTCCCTCGGGATTTAGGTATTTAGGAATTAATATTACACGTACTTTGCCCTCAATGTTTTCTCAGAATTATGCCTCACTAGTTTCCCAAATTGCATCAGATTTACAGAGATGGAACTCTCTCCCTCTTTCATTGATTGGTAGGATTAATATTATCAAAATGAACGTGCTACCTAGACTTTTGTTTTTATATCAAAATATCCCTCTGTTCTTGCCCAAACAGTTCTTCAGGTCCCTGGATCAGATGGTCTCATCTTTTTTATGGAACGGAAAGGCCCCCAGAATGAGACTTTCTTTATTACAACAGTTCACCACAAACGGGGGTCTTTCTCTACCTAATTTTACAATGTATTACTGGTCCTCACATATCCATAAACTGACTTATTGGTTAAATTCACCTGATCTGATTTGGTGTAAACTTGAAATTCAGTCGATTTCTGCATCTTTTTCGCCCGCTTCAATTATTTATTCATCATTACCAATTAAATTATCCTCAGTTACTACAAATCCTATAGTGCTCTCAACACTCAGGATCTGGTCACAATTTAGGTCCCACTTTAAATTTGTATCACCCTCTAATAAAATGCCGTTACTAAAGAATCACATTTTTTCTCCAGCATCTAGTAATGCTGCCTATAGAATTTGGTATGAGAAAGGTATTAGAACAATGAGAGACCTGTACGAAGATGGTTTATTTCTTAGTTTTTCAGAATTGTCTTCTAAATTTAATCTACCCACTTCACATTTGTTTCTTTACTTCCAAATTAGGCATTGCGTTTCATCGCAGTTTCAAAATTTTCTAACTTTGCCTACTGACCCACCATGGGTTGAACTCTTAGTTTTGAGCCCCAATTTGAAATCTCCTCTTTCAATTATTTATGGAAAACTTATGGCAATAGAGGCCGATTCATCGGGTAAAACTAGAACTGCATGGGAACGTGAACTGGGTGTTAAACTATCAGATTCATGGTGGGATAAAGTTATTCTCAGCATACGTCAGAGTACACCATGTGCCAGACTACAGTTAATACAATTTAAAGTAATAAATAGAGTACACTTCTCAAAAACACGTTTATCTAAAATGTTCCCCTCAATACCAGACCAGTGTGATAGATGTCAGACTTCACCTTGCAACTTAAGTCATATGTTCTTTTTCTGCCCAAAACTGCAAGGGTTTTGGAAATATTTTTTCTCCATACTCTCAGGAGTTTTTAAGATTCAGTTTCAAAGTGATCCACTTATTGCTATTTTTGGAGTTCCTGGGACCACACTTAATCTATCCCGCCAGCAGGGGGAGGTCTTGGCCTTTTGCTCTCTCCTTGCCAGACGTTGTATTTTGCTCGCCTGGAAATCTCCCACACCACCATCCACATCACAATGGCTTAATACTGTAAGATTATACTTGAAGATGGAAAAAATTTTACTAACAGTGAAAGGTAGTTCAGAAAAATTTACCCACAAGTGGACACCCTTTGTGTCATATGTAAAATCTTTACCTTCATAGCGTATAGACTGATATGATTGACTCATCACATTACCATGTGACTTGTTTTTAGAGGATAAATGAAAGACTGAAATACTGTTTTCCTTTTGGTTTGTTGGGTCCCTCCTGTTCGTTCCTCCTCCCCCTCTCTCTCTTTTTTTTTTTTTCTCTCTCCTTTTTTTTTTTTTTTCTTTCCTTATTTTGTCTTGTTTTTGGTTAAGGGGGGAAGGGGAGGGAGGGGAAGAGGGGAGGGAGGGGGGAAAGGGGGAAGGAAAAAAAAGAAAAAATTAGAGAAGTCATGTAAATTCTGTTTAATGTATGTAATGTCAATTATATATTCTCCTGATAAATAAAAATTTAAAAAAAAAAAGAATGAAAACCACCCAATTGGAAGTAAACCGCCCAATCTGGCCACACTGGGAGTGACGTGTGCGAGTGAGAGGGGGTGCGCGTGACAGTGGTAACAAATAATGCATTTATCAATGAGTCATGTTAGCGCTTAGATTTGAATCAGTACGTTTTGCATCCAATAAAAACAAAGATGTTAACAAATAAACTGGACAATGTTCTGGCTGTTTAGTTTAATGATATTTCCACAGTTGTGGTCTTGACTGGTCTTGAAATAAAATCTCAAGTCCTCAATGTCCGAGACTGAGACAAGACCAAGACCATCAAAAAGTGGTCTTAAGACCGGTCTCAAGTACTACAGCACTACACCAGGCCCTAAAGTACTAACTACTGCGATTATTTGACAGAACATCATTTCAGAATTGACCAGACTGTTACTTTAACGCAGCGTCTCACTGAGCGGTAACTGTTGGCAACAAGCTGGAGAGCAGCACTCGTGGTGGAGTCTTTAACATGTCTTGATTTCCTCATGTGAGATGCAGAGACAACGTGGATTTAACGTGATTGAGGCTGTTTTCTCTCGGAGTATTTCTGGGAGCTACAACTGTATCTTGACACCTGCATGGGAGCTCTTCTTTGACTGAAAACATACCACGTTACAATAAGGCTCCCCTTATAGATGGCTATAAATAGTTTATAGATGTTGTATAGACCCAATGTTCTTCCTGACACAACCACAGCCTCTGTGTGGAGCAGAGAGCTGCCATCTGGGAGCAGATGTTGGGGGTTAAGGGCCTTGCTCAAGGGCCCAGAGTGGGACAAATGAGGGTGGAGGCAGGTGTGGGTGTTGCATCTTTCCCACCCACATTTTGATGTTATTGGTCTGGGGAATCGAACCAGTGACCTTCTGATCACAGTCTTGCCTTCTCTAACCTCTGCACCACCACGCTCTGACAGATCTAAAAACCATGCTGATGATACATGATAATTACATTTAAAAAGTGAACCCAAATCTTCTCATCTTTATGTTGTAAGGAAACGTCAGAAGATGAAATCATGAATGTGGAGCAGCTGCTAACAGCCGCCCAGTGACAGACTGGCTCGTCTCAGGACTCTGTCCTGAACCATCTGCTCCATGCAGACGACATCCTGGACAGAAAACAACTCAACGCAGCGGTGTGGGTTTTCACCTGGAGATGTGTTGATGTTACTCGAACACAGGACACTTTGTTGTTGCGTTGCTTTTAGCTTATTATCAACTTGAACGTGACATTAGATGATACAAAGACCAGAGGTGTCCAGTTCTGGTCCTTGAGGTCCACTATTCTGTTTTAGCTCTTTCTCTGCTCCATCACACAAGAGTCAATGGTTTGTTAAGCTCTTCAGCAAGTCTTCAAGTTCTGCAGAAGTCTGTCAAACATCTAGAGTCAACACAGAGAAACACGTAAAACATGCAGGACTGTGGCCCCAAGGGGCCAGGACTGGACACCACTGAGTCAAACAGACAACTTCCTCACCATGGACATCCTCCTCCCACTGGCTGGAGGAGGTGGTGTCACAGCTGGACTCTCCCCTTGGTGTAGGTGCAGGGCCTCAGTGTCTGTTCCGCTCTGGGAGGCGTCGCTGTCTGACGGACTGGCCAGCTTGGCCTCTGACATTCCTCGTGACAAGAAGCTGCACTTTCTGGCTGACGGGTAGTGGCTACTTCCTGGAGAGTCACTCATGTCACTGAGCTCCTTGTGGATGCTCACTTTGCTCTGCTTCCTCTGTGGGTTCCTCAGGGCTGCTGGGATCTCTATGTGGCTGGCCATCAGGGTTTCTCGGGGTCCTGCATAGCGCGGCTTGCTCAGACCCTGAGGTCCGTTTGAAATGTCGCTGCTGCACGAGGGCTTCCTGTTGTCCAGAGAGAAGCGGTGCTCAGCTGTCCCCAGCTGCTGCACACTCTGCATGTCCGTTTGGCTCATGTGGTACGTCTGTGTGGGGAGCTGGCTCAAGCCCACTGGGTTTACTAAATGATAAGGCAGAACTTCTCCATGAACAAGCGTGTGGGGATCAGGACTGGTAATGTGTGTGAGCTGCATCAACTTCTGCGGTGAGGAGCTGGTTAGCAGACAAACCTGCTGAACCACAGAGTTCTTCTTCGACCTGCAAATGCTGTCATCGTCCCCGTACTTGTATCCGTACAGACTCTGCTTGATCTTCTTCACGCCCAGATGAAAGATTTCCAAGAGGTTAAGGAACAAAGAGACTCCGGCAATGACCAGCATAAAAACCATAAAAATGTTCTTCTCCGTTGGTCTCGACACGAAACAGTCCACACTGTTCGGGCAGGGTGACCTTTCACATTTGTACAGAGGAGATAGACCCAAACCATAAAGAGCGCACTGACCTACGATGAAGCCCACCTCCACCACGGACCGGGTCAAGATATGGAAAACATACGTGCGCAGCAAAGAACCTCGAAGCGGAGCTTTCCTGACTCTCTTCTGTTCATCCAGTTTCCTGAGTTCACGCTCGATTCTTTTATGGTCCTCCTGGTCGGGGTCTGCTCCCTCCAGCTCGACCTTCAGACAGGCTTTCTTCTTGTGTCTTTCTTTCTCCAGGGTCCTCAGACGGTACAAAGCGTGGCCCATGTAGACGAGTGAAGGCGAGGACACAAAAATGATCTGTAAGACCCAGTAACGGATGAGGGAGACTGGAAATGCCTGGTCATAGCAGACGTTCTTGCAGCCAGGCTGCTCCGTGTTGCAGACAAACTCGCTCTGCTCGTCGTCCCACACATCTTCGGCTGCTACGCCGAGCACCAGCATTCGGAAGATGAAAAGGATGGTGAGCCAGATCTTTCCCACAATGGTGGAATGAATGTGCACTTCTTCCAAGATGCTGCCTAATAAGTTCCAGTCCCCCATCTTGTCTCACGACAGCTGCTGGCAGAGACTGAAGAAAAATGTGAAGTTTTGTTTAACTATAATTTACAATTTCAACAAAAGGCAACAACAAGTTGTACTTACATGTTTCCTATTGCCCTCTCCTGCCGTATTTCATTATACCAATGTAAAAAAGCACATCAGTGCTGACTTGTCCCTCGACGCCTGCTGAGACCCCACAGTGCATGGTAGCTGACACTATTTTCATGCTGCTGCAAACTAGGACTCCAGTTTGAACCTATTGATCCGCCTCATGAGCCTATAACACTCTGAGGCTAGTCTCACCCTGACACATTTGTCAGGACACAAATCTGGAAACAGCCCCCAACTGAAAGTCAATGCACAGTGTTTTCCTTTTTTCATTTTATGTTTATTACAATACAGCATTTGGCAGTTTTTATCCAACTACATCAGACAGAAGGGATGTAAAATACGAACTGTGGACCGCTCCTGTTAACCAACATCAAGGTTGAAACTATCTTCAGCTCATATGCTGAATCAACTGAAATATATATATATATATATATACACACACAAAGTATTTATAGACAGAACGATCCATCATCATGGTGCTTCCACCTCTGTATTCACAGTTGGGATGATCCAAGTTTCCTTCCTCTCCTCTCTGTGGTCGTAACAACCAAAAAGTTCAGCTTTAGTTTCATCAGATCACAGAGCACCGGTCCCAAAATTAACGTCTTTGTCCCTGCTTGAATATGAAAATTGTATTATGGCTTTTTAATTGTTTTATTTTTTGTTCCAGGACTTGTCTTTTCTTTAGATAATGACTCTGACCAGCTTCAGCAGCATTCTTACAGTTTTTGCTTTTGATTCAAACATTTCCCATCGAAACTCGTTCCTCTAAGGAACAGAACCATCTCCTTCCTGAGTGGTGTAAAGGTGCAGGTGTGGGTTTTCTCCAGTTTCCTCCCACAGACTAAAAACATGCATGTTAGACTGATTGATAACTCTAAATCGTCCCTAGGTGTGAGTGGGAGACTGAACGGTTGTTTGTCTCGTTTGTCTCCAGGTGTTCATGGTTCAAATCCCAGTGCCAACCTCTGAGCTACCTCGGTGTCACTATGAGCAAGAAACAAAATACTGAGGCCACGTCGGCTCAGACATCGCCCGAATTACCAAGGTCACTGGTAGATGTTGGGAACAAGAACATTCTGACGTAATACTGGAACATTTCCCTTAATAAATGAATGAACAAGTAAAATATTTTAGTCTCATTTGTTTTAACTGGTTCTTTATCTACTTTTAGGACTTGTGTGAAAATCTGATGGTTTATATACGAACCACTTCCACTCCCCATTATATAAATATATATATATATACTCCCCCATTATATAAATATATATATACTCCCCATTATAAAAAATATATATACTCCCCATTATAAATATATATATATACTCCCCATTATATAAATATATATATATACTCCCCATTATATAAATATATATAGATAACTCCCCATTAAATATATATATACTCCCCATTATAAATATATATACTCCCCATTATATAAATATATACTCCCCATTATATAAA